AATGGGAGCTAAGAAAATATGAAACTATACACTTTTAAAATGTTTTACTTTTATTTCAAGAGCAGAGCCTGTAAAGGAGTCATATAATTTTTATATAGTGAGGACAATTCTTGGCAAGTTCTGTTCTGACAAGAATGCATGAAATTTTAAGTTTTTAAAAAGTTTTGTAAATGAAAATGAACTTAATCGCAGATCTCACTGAATGATTCACCAATGCGCATTTACACATATTGATATTGGAATTTGATTTATGTGACCAATCTCTGCCAAATTACTTAAACTGCAAAATGCTGTTATGAAAGTAACACAAACCCAATCCTAGGAATTGCGTACGCTCAACACATTGTAATATCAGGCCTGTGATCAGGCATGTTTATCTGGCAAAATGTTGCAGGATTGGGATCCCAAGGACAATTAACAATAAGAAACTGGAAAACATTCAAACCCCAGAAAATCGCTGACACAAATCTAGTTAATTTCAAAGGTAATGGACAACTTAATATTACATTATTCTATTTAGTCCCTGCCGTTTGTACACAACTTCTTAGAGGGATAAGTGGTGTTCAGCCATCCGAGATTGAGCAATTATTCTACAAGGCATTTTCTTTCTAGAATAATATTTTTAGTTAAGGAAGACAGCATGTATAATAACGTCATTCTGGTTTGAAGTCATAACTGAGTACCAGTCTAAAAATATTACTAAAAACATAAACTTAAATAAGTTTACCTCATTTAGCCCTGGAAAACATTGCCCTCTGTTATCATAAACTGATTGCTTGAAAAGAGATAGGAGGTCATGATGTCTAATGTCAAAATTCTGTGCTCACTTGAAAGTTAAGGACTAAGATTAAAAAGGATTTGTTGCATGAATGCACCACCCTCATCTCTGAGGAATTAGGTTCAAGTCCATTATAATTCACACGTGTATTATTTTGGTGGTTTCATCTTAGTCAAAAGTGGATGTGTGCTCTGAGGGAAAAAACACCATACAGTATGTCAAGAGTGTGAGTTTCCTATTGCAAGAGGCCCATGAGTGAACTGGCTAGGGTTATTATAGATATGGTGCGTTTTCAGAGCTTGGAACAGCTACTTGAATGGCAATGTTGGTTCCCAACATTTGTAATGACTAAAATTCCCATTGGTATACTAGTCAGGAGAGGAACTGAATGATCATTCCTTAGACACTGAGACATATTAAGAGATCACTGGTAGCAGAGCAGAGCAATTTCTTTCTCTCTTCCTGTATTTGTTGTGTTAAGTGCTCTGTCATAGTGAAAAGATCTTTCAGAAACTTGCAACCTGCTTTTGTTTCTGTGGGCAGCTTATTTCCTCCTTTGGCTTGACCTTGATTAGTGGTTGCTATGTAAAACTATTGCAAGGCAGTGTATATTATACCTATTTGAATATTATGTGCACACAGTCATTCTGAAACTACTTTTATTATTTTCCATAGTGCGGAAGCTGCATATGGTGCTGTACGCTAGGTAAGATGTGTTGAACAGATAACAGAGTCCCTGGCCTGAAGAGCTCACAGTCAAAAGGGACAAGTGGATAAAATAGATTGTGTTTTGTAGTGACATCATGCTTAGGGGGATGGAGGCATGAACAGTGAAGGTGGGCCTTACATGAGCTGCCTAGTCCTCTTACATCACTATACTTTCCTCTCTCTCAGCAAAGCTCCCATTGACATCAGTAATGTAGAATTGGGTCTTTACTATGTTGTTAACCACTCTAAATGGCAGTGTAAGAGAAAGCAGCCTGATGTCACCAATGCATTTTATACCTGTATAATATGTTTTACTTTGGAGCACCAAGGCCTAGATTTTCAAAAGTCACTAGTCATTTTGCATACCTAACTTTTTGGGTGATCAACCTGAGATACCTTGACAAGGCCTAATTTTCAAATGAGAAGTGTACTCTCTGTTCAGAGTGCTACCTATATGCTATCTGAAATGTTAGTGTGTCAGGAGAAGGAAGGTGATGGATAAAGTGACCAAATTAGGAATATTTATCAAACTGTTTGTAAATTAGCTAATATTAGCGGCATCATCCAAAATCCAGTGAAGTCAGTGGAAAGACTCCCATTGATTTCCCTGAGCTTTGGATCAAGCCCATATTCATTACCGGAAACCAGTTTCCTCCTGAGATTTGAAGACTCTTTTTGAGCATCTCAATAGTAAATAAATACCAAACGGAAGTGAAGTGAGATCTTAATGTACTATCTAATCTGTGCTTTTATAGTGTGACATTACACTCCATATTCTTTATGGAGATATGCTTACGATATGGATATGACATAACTGTGAGATACTTTATGAAAGATGGCTCATGTAAAATACCATTGGAAAAGTTATGATTTACTTAATGTGATTATCCAATTTTTATGTATGTATCATTTCTGTATCTAAAGTTAGGAATATGGACTATGTAACAATTACAACTGGGTGTGTATTGGGAAGACAATTACATGTAACAATTACAACTGGGTGTGTATTGGGGTATGGGGGGGAGGGATAGCTCAGTGGTTTGAGCATTGGCCTGCTAAACCCAGGGTTGTGAGTTCAATCCTTGAGGGGGCCATTTAGGGATCTGGGACAACTATGGGGGATTGGTCCTGCTTTGAGCAGGGGGTTGGACTAGATGACCTCCTGAGGTCCCTTCCAACCCTGATATTCTATGATTCTAAGACACCCACCATCTGACAGGCCATCAGATTTGATGAGCCATCAGAAGGAAACAACAAGATTGTGAAGATACTAATCTCTCCCCCTTCTGGGAGGCATCCTGGGATGTAACTGTGTCGCTGCTAGGTCAGGTGGTCTTGTCACCTGATACTAAACATTATCTTGGACTTCTTGTAACTTTCCACTAAAAGGGGAGGAGGGTCAAGTTTGGGAAACAAAGGATTCCCGCCTTATGTAAACGTTATTTAAGGATGGGGAGGCAGGCAAACAGGACTCCTCCTCTCCATGGCTGGTCTGCCCAGGAAGAAAGACTGCTAAAGACACTTGAAGGGAAGGCAAGTGGGGAGTCCAGACTGAGATGGGGGTCCAGTCTGAAAAGAAATATAACTGGAACTCTAAGCTACAGAAACGTTGCAACCTGCCTAAAATAACATTTAGGGTAAGAGATTACAATTTGTAACCTGTTTCTTGAGTATATTGAGCTTAGCTTGCATATTTCGTTTGATTTGCTCAGTAATCAGCTTTGTTCTGTCTGTTATCTCTTATATTCACTTAAAATTCACCTTTTGTAGTTAATAAACTTATTTCTTGTTTATAATGTAACCCAGTTTGTGCAATTCATAATTGGGAGGAGAGGGGGCAAGAGGCTGTGTATACCTTCCTCCACATTGAGGAAGGAGGCGGATTTCTTAATATACCTTTGGGTCTACACTCCAAGGGAGGTGGACACCTGAGTGCTGGGGCAAGTCCCTTAAAGCTGAGTCTTCCCAGAGCTGATCTCAGTGTCTGTCTTTCCGTAGTTGGGTGTGGCCCTGCCTGTATGTGTGCTAGAGGAGGCTTAAAAGCCTGGCTCAGCAAGACAGGTAAAAAGGGTGCCCAGGCGGGCTCAGTGATATCTCAGCACATCAGGTGGCATCTTGAAGGAGGGCAACCTGTCACATATAGCTCTTAAACAAATATAACGAGATTGTGCAGGCTAACTTCCAAGAGTTCTGGTTTTAATGTTGGCTAAAGAAATTTTGATGGAATTTTCAAAGGTGTCTAAGAGAAGAAGAAGCACAAGTCCCATTGACTTTCAATGGAATTTATGTTCCTGTTTTTCTTAAGTGCTTTTGAAAATCTCATCCTTCGTCCTTTTCAAACTAATATGTGGAATTAAAAAAAAAATCACATTAACATTCCTGGTCTATTTAAGCAAATAGTTCAGAAAAATATAGTACTGGTGATTTTAGTTCTCATTAACGTGTCAATAGTATGAGAATTCATAACACAGAATTCTGATATTGTTTTGTATAGAAAATACCAGTGTTCATTCTCCCCTGGAAACGACAAGAGAGTAGCCATCTGAATTTCATGTCAAGAAAGGACCCTGTCCTACAGCCCCTTACTCACATGAGTTGTTCTGCCTGGTGATTTCACAGCAACTACTCTCTTGAATATTAAGACCCCAAAAGTCTTTTTTGTAGAATCATAGAAATGTTGGGCTGTAAGGAACCTTGAGAGGTCAAGTCCAGCTCCCTGCGTTGAGGCAGGACCAAGTGCATCTAGACCATCCCTTGCAGGTGTTTATCCAATGTGTACTTAAAAACATCCAATGATAGAGATTTCACCACCTTCCTCAGAAGCTTATTGCAGAATTTAACCTTATAATTAGAAAGTTTTTCCCAATATTTAACCTAAATCTCCCTTGTTGCAGATGAAGCCCTTTTTCTTCTTGTCCTATCTTCGGTGGCCATGGAGAACAATTGATCACCATCCTCTTTATAACAGCCTTTAAGATATTTGAAGGCTGTTGTCAGGTCCCCCATCAGTCTTTTTTTCTTATACCTAAACATGACCAGTTTTTAACCTTTCCTCATAAATCAGATTTTCTAAAACTTTTATCATTTTTGTTGCTCTCCTTTGGACTCCCTCTAATTTATCCACCTTTCCTAAAATGTGGTACCCAGAATTGGACACACTACTCCAGCTGAGGCCTCACCAGTGGGGAGGAGAATGAAAGGTTGTCGCAAAAGAACAATAGCTAATGTAAGAAAATACTGGTGGATTAACAGTTTTTATCAGAACTTCAAGAGCTTGTGTGGATTTGAAGGTACTCAGATACCAAAAGTGATAAGTGCAGCATAGAACATAGAATCACAGAGTCACAGTAGTGTTTTGTACTGTGCCAAAACTAGGCAAATGTAATTCGTTAGTTGATGAAGAGTTGAGTTTCCTGGAACTAAGCCTTTTGGTGTGATATCAAAGAACTGTCAGTACTTCAGTGTGGTTTATTTCATTTCCTGATTCATACAGCTGTTCTGTTTCTTCGCTCAGGTATCCTCTCATGTCCTGTGTGCAAACAGACGTGCTTCGCAGGCGATGTAGTTGAAAATTTCTTTCTCAAGGACTTTCCCACAGCAAATCCAGCTATGGCAAGGGTAAGTGGAGGCTGCTAAATAGGTTGCAGCATGAGTCTTTTGAAAACCGATAACCAGACTCAAAATTTGTTGTTTGAGTAGCTTTATATAGCATTGTAATTTCACTGCAGCTCTTCAGTCATCCCCAGGGACTGAACATACTGCCTCTAAAGCACTTTTCTCACCCTGTGTGAAGAGCAAGGCATTACAGTCAGTGGGAGCTTTGACAATGACTTCAGTGGTGCAGGACTGGGCTTTTGGCATGAGTATGTGGCAATACAAATCCCTGCTGCTAAGCCCCTAGGTTGGCCCTTGGAGGGAACTATTTCCCTTAACAGTTGTATTGCACGAAAACACTTTGTCAGTCACCACAGCACTAGCCACAGTGGAGCACAGACAATTTTGACTTGTTGCAACATCAAACTGAGTAGCACAGAACACAAGTTTCTAGTGGGTAGAATTGTCTTTCAAATAAACCCAACTTACCACCAAAGTTAGGTTTCTCAGTGACGAGCTAGGATTTCACTCTTGAATTATGTTTCATTCATTATAAAAGTGATGTACAGGTAATAAATGCATCTGATGCATCCAGCAAGATGCTGGATAGCCCTTTCACTCTGTGTTTCTCAGTATCCTCTGTTCCTTTGTTAGGGCCAGGTAAGCAGTGACAAAGGCTACTGGTTGTATGGTTGTCTCAAATTGATTGCTTCTGTTAAATGATAGAGATGTCAGTCTAATAATAATAACAACAACAAATAAAGTTCTTCCTCAATCCTGAGGGAAGTCTCCCAGAACTTTTGTCTTTCATCAGGATAGAATGGATGTAACTGAGAAGTTGGAGACATTTTGTCGTTTGCTGTGGCCTTATGTAAACAATATGCCTGGAGACAAATATGCTTCTCATGTGCCATTTAAAAAAGTTGATTTGCAATTTAGTGTTTTAGTTATGTATAGTCTTCTCCTATACTAGTTTAATTGTACTGTTTCCACTGTATTTAAGTGTTTGTCCAGCTCCAGGGGAATTGTTCTTGTTTATTTCTGCTCTCTCTATCTCACTATAATACCCTTCCTGAATGAGGAAGCAAGACATTGGAAAATGATTATATTGCACTGGAATGAGGAGCTAAAATAGCACTAAATGAATCAAAACTACTTTACAAACTATTGACTGATTTATTTTATCCTTTTTTCTACTGGAGTCAAAAGTGTTGCCCAATGGTTAGAGCTAGTGACTAAGAGCTAGAATTCTTGGGTTCAAATCTCTGGGCCAGATCACGGACCCATTCCATCTGTTCTGTGCCTCTCTGTCAGTTCCAGGGAGGTATAAAACCAGCTTAAATATCCAGTTAAAGATTCCTCTGGCATTGGAGATTCCTTTAGCAGGTTTTACCAACTTAGGGGACATATCAAGGGTACAGCCAGAGCACTGCTGCACCCCAGCACTGCCAATGGAATGGTCCTTTGTGGGTTATCAGCCAGAACAACTTACAGAAGTCTTGAGGTTGCTCTAAGTTGTTCTGGAGACTGGCCCCAGGATCCAGTGGGAGAAAAGCATAAGGTCAAACACCATCTTTGTCTTCTGTGTTTTAGCTCTGTTCAGCCTTCTGTTGATTACCAATGCCCCTGAATTGCTCTGAGTCACTTAACTTTCCCATTCCTCATTTTCCCCATCTCTAGAAATACATACCTAACTCCTAGAGGGTACTGTGTGAATTCAATGAATAATGTTTGTAAAGTGCCCTGAGATCTTCAGATGAAAGGTGCTATTTATATGCAATGTATCATTATGTGAACCAGGAAGGATCACTTCACACATACTCTTCAAAGATAAGTTTCAGAGTAGCAGCTGTGTTAGTCTGTATTCGCAAAAAGAAAAGGAGTACTTGTGGCTGTAGCTCACAAAAGCTTATGCTCAAATAAATTTGTTAGTCTCTAAGGTGCCACAAGTACTCCTTTTCTTTCTTCAAAGATAGTAAGAGCAAAATTTACACAATGCTGCTGCAGTGATAAAAGTTCTTATTACATTGAGTTTTCTTAATTATCGTAACTCAATTCATCTACTTTCTAGAGAGAGCCAGTGTATGAAGGAAATCAAATGAATAAATCTTTTAGCCTCTTCAAAGGCATTGGGATATTTCTCAGATCTCCAGTAAGAAGATTTTCTTTTCTTCAGTCCCTTAGGACTCCGAAGAGCAATTCAAAAAGAAAACAATTCCCACAGGAGTACAGGAATCCTACAGGGGAATGAAGAATGTTCCTTTTTTTATAAATAGTCTCATAACAGTGAAGCCTTTATAAAAGGAAAAATAGGAGAAAACCAGGGCCCGATCCTGCTGTCACTGAAGTCAGTGGGAGTTTAGCCAGTGACATCAGCGGGAGCAGCATAAGGCCCTCAAATTATGAGGCTGCTAGAAAGACATGAAGGCCAGTATTTTCAGACTTTGGTGTCTAAAGTTGACATCTAGTTCCATAAAAATGGCCTAACTGGGAGCTCTGAAATTCAGTCCCCATAATTAGGTGCCTACATATGGATTTAGGTTCCTAACTTTAGGCAGCTAAATCTGAAAATTATGCGCAAATCTGTTAGCTGGCTTGATCAAATTGGACTTGGCAATGTTGCTAAAGGGAATGAGAATTTGGGGTGCAAAAGAAATGTAGGATCAAGTCCTACATCTTGCCATTCTGACTTTGGTAGAGGTTTATCGTTGCACTCAGGTGGTAGCCAACATGAATGTCACATTTTAGGGGAGCAATTAATGGTATAAAGATAACCAAAGTGATACTCCAAGATCTTGACCATATCTTGGACACTGTAGTGATGGATTCATTATAAATGGGATAGACAGATAACCTCTATTGTAAAGTTATCTTCCTGGGTAAGCTTGGGGAAGACACTTACTCTTTCTCTGTACCCCAACTATAAAATGGATGTAGTGATCCTTCCTGTCTCCTACCCTTTGTCTGTCTAGATTGTAAGTTCTTTGGGGCAGGGTCTGTCTTTTACTGTGTGTGTGTGTACACTCTGGGGCCCTGTTGTCAACTGGGGCCTCTAGGTGCTACTGCAATAAAAATAAATGATGATAATTGTGGAAGGACTTAAGTGTACAAGTGTATACTAGTTGATAAACCACACCGTGCTGAGCTACCCTGATTGGTGAGTTGAAATTCCAGCCTCACTTTTTTCAGTTGGCCTTTTGGCAACTTATCAGGGTAATTGCTTTGCAATGTATGTATTGTGTGCTTGAGTTGCTCAGTTGTTTTTGCTTCTGAGCTCCTTGGGTGAATGGTCTTGAAATCCGCACTTAAAAGAGAGGTGTAGTCTGAATACCTGAGCAGGAGCCAGGAACTCCTGAGTTAATCCTGGCTCTCTAAGCCTAACTTCCTGTGTGGCCTTGGGCAAGTCACCCTCTCTGCTTCAGCCTTTTTCTTTACATGTATGGTAAAAGAGGAAGCACATACTGCCCATCTTGTGAAATGGAGGTAAGTAAATATTATCATCTCTGAGAGGTATTGTGAGAATTAATTAATGTGTGTAAAAGTGCTCTGAAGATAAAAAAAAAAAAAAAACTATGCATGGTCTATGTAAATATCAAAGGACTGGAGATGTGTGAGGTAGGGGATAAGTGTTGGCTGCTGGAGGAGTCAGGGCTCTTGCCCAGAGTCTGACTAAGGTGGTCAGACAGAGAGCTTGAATGGGGTTTAGTACAGCTTGACTAGGCCTGGGCTAACCAGAACAGACCATTCTTTAACTTTCAGTTCTCTGTGCTAACCTAATGATTTCCTATGCTATGTTTCTGTCGACTAATTAATAAACCCTACTGTTTTGACAACGCTGTGTGAGTATTGCTGCAAAGGCTGGGTGAGGTATATTAGTCTCTGAAGAGCGTACAGTTCTCCATCAGGAATCTGTCTCAGTTGAACTCACCGTGTGAAGCAAGAGTGCTGAAGGCCCAGAGGTCCAGCCTAAGGAAGCGGTGAAGCCATCCTGTCTTATCCTGGAGGAAGAGTGAGAACCTTAAGGGGTCTGGAACACTGAAGGGGTACCCCCACGAGACTGTTCCAAAGCGGGGGGCTGTAGTACCAATCCCTTGGATCTGTGATGCTTGGTTAGATTTGGTTAAACTTTTCTTCACAGACTGGACAATATTCTATCATGTTCATGAAGGGACTTACAATTCCTGTGCACTGATTTGTTTTCTTGTGTTTGTACATCATTATCTGTTATGGTACTAATATTAAGGGTATACAAATGACCTCTTATCCTCTGCAAGTTCCATTTTTTTGAGAAGCAACTATCCCCACTCATTCCGTGCACTGAAATCAGACCATTCTTAGTTTATCAATTAATAGATTTTTAGGAACAGAAGGCCAGAGCTATTATGATCATGTAGTCTGACTTCCGGCATTGCACAGGCCATAGAACCTTGCCCAGTAATTCTGGTATCAAACCTGTAACTATTTCTTCAACAAGAGAATATTAGAAAGACATCCAGCTTTGATTTAAACATATCCATTGATGATCTTGTTCTCCTCTCTCTTGCACCAGTGTAAACCAGGAGTAATTCCATTGATGTCAATTGAATGACACTGGTGTAAGAGAGAAAAGAATCAGGGCCAGTGCTCACAGTTATTGGCGTAACCAAACCGCCAAGGTTTTGAATCAGTGTCTTAAATGAAGTAGTTTCTACAAGCTCATTGGAGGAGTTCTGCATTTAATTATACTTGCATGGAATTGCACCTTTTCTTTTTTCTTTTTTTTTTCAGAGCTGTTCCACGTGTAATGAGAAGAGACCTGCTCACAGTCTGTGTACTAACTGCAATAAGTGGCTGTGCAGCTCATGTACAGAGGAACACAGACATGGCAAAGAAACTGGAGACCATTTCCTGTCTGTCCCCCTGAAGGGCTCTTCAGGTAGAACCATAAACTTTGAAGCTTTGTTCTTTTTGTGGGGGTAATTCAGCTGGACCGCCACAGAGTCTGCACTTTGCAATGATTGTGAATAAATATTATGCATACAATAAGTGGGGTTTTGATAGACAACATTCTACAGCTCCGAAGAGCTGACCTTGCACCAACAAAGTCAATGCTACCCCACCCCATGGGGAGGATTGGCGCTTGTGTTTAAGGGAGGCACAATCCCTCCAAAAAGCCCTACCAGTGCGCAGCAATTTTTCAGGCTGTACAGTCCTTCAGGATCTTGCAGCCTGATCCCAGTGTGCCTGTGTGGACATGGCTCCTCCCTGTTCCCTGTGGGATATCTGCCTCCAGGGACACACCAAAGAAGCAATTGAAGCCAATTGCCCCCTTGCAACACACTGGTGGTTTGGTCTGCGTAACGTGAGGGAGGAAGGGGAAGGCTCTTTCCATCCCCCTGCACACCCATGCAAGGGCTAGGCATAAACTGATCCTGGCCTATTATTCCAGTGTCAGGGGATGTCCAACCACGTACCTGAGCTGAGGCCTAGGCTCCAATCCGAGCCAAGGATAAGAGGCTTATCACCCAAGCTGGAAACTGTCCTTTTTGCTCTATCCTGAGATAAAATGTGAATGTTCATGGAGTCAAACAGATACCATGTTGGGATGTATGTTGGGCTGTGGAAGCAAGCGTGCCCTCATCTCAGAGCGTTTGTATCAGAGGAGGTGAACTTTGCTTGGTGGTTCTTCTAATAGATAACTCTCTCATAACCAAACATGTGCCCCTGTGCTATGCTTTCACCGGGAAAAGAAAGCAGTTCCACTGGAAATGGAACACTTTGGAACTCTTTAACACTTCCAGGTTACAAATGCAAATTCTTCCGTTCATGTCCCACAGTCACAGCCACCCAGGAGCACCTCTGTGATTTGGAGCAGGGATTTCCTTTGAAAAATATCTGTTTGCATATGTTCAGTAGAGATTTCTTAACGTGTAGCAGCTACGATTGCTGAAGAGTCTGTGCTCAACAAGCATACTCATCTCCTCACAGCTCTTACATTTGACTGAGCAATGCTTTTTTTATCCTCACAGAGCAACTGAGTGTTCTCTGGCCCAGGGCTATTGGGTCAAGGTCAGACTTCCCCTGTAATGGTAGGTCCAGGCAAGTTAGGGAGCTTGGCTCTCCTGTGCTTTCTGTGACATTGCTGCTGGTGCCCAGGCAGCATGAAGGAGGAAGCTGCCTGACAAGAATGCAGAGGGGACAAGAACTGGACCAAAGGGGAGGGAAAGGAATAGATTGGGGCAAGGAGCCAGGTGACACAAGTATTGAAGATAGGGTAGGGGAAGAGAGAAACTGGAGGAGAGGAGGAGATTGGGACATGATGGACAAGGAGACTGAGAACCAGTTGAGGGAAGACGGAAGGCAGATCTGATGAGAAGTTGGTGTATGGGAGAAGAAGTGGGACTGGCTGGGCAAAGAGATTGAGACTGGAATGAGAAGACTAAGGCATGGAGATTGGGACTGAGTATGCAAATAGACTGGGACTGATTTGAGGATTCAGGGATGAGGAAGAAACGACAGGGACAGAGTCAGTTTAGCGGGAATGGCACAGAAAGGGTCAAGCTTGGGGGTAGTAGACAGAAGAGGCTGTGATCACTGTAGCATGCTTCTCTCTAGCCTGGAATGAAACCCAAGATTCCAGAGTCTCATCATTCCTCTGCTTTCAGCAAATATCTGAAAATCACTGGCAGAGTCTGTCTCGTCCCCCTGTAATGGTCGTCCACATGGAGGATGATCTACTATGGCTATCAGTTACTCCATTATCTCAAGTGGTAGAAGTCTTGCAGTGATCTGAAGGTTCCAACTGTGCTGATGAACCATCTGGGTGTCAATTTGAATTTCTGTTTTTTTCAGTTTGCTTTTTTTTTTTTTTTTAAAGACTTAGGAAATTGCACACAAGCTATGTTAAAAGAACATTAAAGTTGCAAAGGCAAGTTATCAAAGGTTAGGAAGTTGTATTTCACTAAGAAGCTGTTATCTGTGTCTGTTATCATTTGTTGCAGAAATTGGAAGGTGTGTAGTGAATGAGGCAGGGGATGGCAGGAAGAGAAAAGATGGTCTCATGGTTTAGGCAGTTGAATGCCACCCTGGAGAAGTGGATTCTATACCTGCTTCTGCCACAAAGTTCCTGTGTGATGCTAGTCAAGTCTCTTACATCAGACTTCTCACAAGTGGTCATTAGTTGTGTGTTCATCATTTTCTGGGTGCATGATTTGAGACGTTGGGGTCTGATTTGTGGAAGTGCTGCTTGCTCACAGTTGCAACTGAAATCAGTGGGAGCTGTGCTTTGAATATATAAAGTCCTTAAAAAAAGCTAAGTACTCTGAAAAATCAGGTCCTAGGCAGCTCAACTTGACACCCAAAATTAGCAGACCCTTTGGACCTTAATTTTTCTGTGCCTCATTTCCCCCTGTGTAAAGCAGAGATAATACCTCCTCATCTCACCAGAGTGTTGTGAAGATAAATGAATTAATATTTGTGAAGTTCTCCAATACTATAGTAATGAGCACCATAGAAATGGCCATGAGGAAATAAATAATTCTGTCTTCAGAGAAGGGTTTGAATAGTGTGCAGTAAATAAGGCCTGGGGCCACACGTTGAACAATGAGGATAAACAAAATGTAGAAAAGGTGCTCATTAAGTGAGCACTCTCCCTTCTGTGCAATGAAGGAAGTAGTGGTCCTGTGGAAAAACTAGTAAGTGATCATATAATTAAAGCCTGTATCAATGCATACATACAAGGGGGCCTAAGTAAGGTTGCATATCAATGTTAATTATGGCATTTTCTAACTTTTGAATTTTTGACTTTGCAGCTTAATATTTTTAATGCAGTTTTATGTGTGAAATATCTATGTAGCTTAAGTTGATTAGGAACAAATTAAGCTAAACTGAAATAAGCTATTCATAAACTGTAAAGTATTTTGCAGTAGGATTTTACACCAGTTTAACTAAACTGATTTAAGGCTACACCGATGCAGCTGTGCCGCTGTAAGATCTCCTGTGTAGCCACTCTGTGCCGACAGAGAGAGCTCTCTCACTCCCAACAAGTGGCAGTAGCTATGTCGGTGGAAGAGCATCTCCTGCCAACATAGCATTGTCCATGCTCGCACTTCTGTCCGTGTAACTTATGTCGGTCAGGGGTATGGTTTTTTTGTTTTTTTTTCTACACCCCTGAGCGACAGAAGTTTTACCAACTAAAGTGCTAGGGTATGTATGGCCTAAGTTCACACCTTAATTTAACCCAATGCATCTTTCTCGTGTATGGTTTTGTGGATGTCAGAGAGACTGAGCAGAAGATGGGTGAAAGGCAGAAAGTAGAACATAAAGGAGTCCCAAAAGAGCACATCTAAGTGCATTTTAGAGAATGCTGCACAATCACTTTAGCTATAGGAGAGAGAAAGGACAGACACAAGGAAGAAGCATAGATGAAGACTATTCTTTGAAATGTTTTTTTTTTCTTGCAGGTGTTATATAGAACCCAGTCCTTTACTCCTTGTACAGGCAAAGCTCACCTAAAAGTCAATGGGCGTTTCTCTGTGTAAGATGTACAGGTTAGGGTACTTAATATTAGAGCTATTGATCAGTTACCAGATGGTAGAGGGAAGGAAAGGAAACTTTATAAGAACAGGTCAAAAATAAAACAGCACATAAAATGTAGCTTTTAGAATTATATTTGACCCCAAGCAAGGAAATGTAGGCTCTTTTCTCAGCATAAAGCAAAGATAAAACAGCCTGTTGTAAGAACATAAGAATGGCCATACTGGGTCAGATCAGTAGCCCAGTATCCTGTCTTCTATCAGTGGCCAATGCCGGATGCTTCAGGGGGAATGAACAGAACAGGGCACTTTCATCCCCTGATTCATCCCATATCATCCAGTCCAATGTTCTGGCAGTCAGAGGTTTAGGGACACCAGAGCATGGGATTGAATCCATGACCATTTTATCTAATAGCCACTGATGGACCTATGCTCCATGAATTTATCTAAATTTTTTTTTAAACCCATTTATATTTTTGGTCTTCACAACAACCCCTGGCAATGAGTTCCACAGGTTGACTGTGCGTTGTGTGAAAAAATACTTCCTTTTATTTGTTTTAAACCTGCTGCCTAATAATTTTGTTGGGTGACCCTTGGTGCTTGTGTTATGTGAAGGGATAATTAACACTTTCTTATTCACTTTCTCCACACCATTCATGATTTTATAGACATCCCTTTAGCTCTAGTCCCTTGAGTCCGAGGCAGCTGGCAAGGGTCAGCTGCAGGTTTTTAATTGCAGTGTAAACATACCTACAGAGATCACACTGTCTTATATTTGTTTGAGATAAGGACAATTACTGTATGCAGGCCTTGGAAGAGGTGATCCAAAATGGTGAATGTGTTCATCTTTTTTTTAAAAAAAGAGAGTTAAAATGCCAATTTTAAGCTTCTGTGAATTAGATAGTTATTTTCTTAATCTGTTTCAAAACTCACATTCTGAAGGAAAGTGATGGTAGTGCCAGTACATAGGGCAAATGATTCCTTACTATTGTTGAGATGATGCTCAATAAACTGACTTGGATTATGATAGCTGTGATTCCCACATGGAGAGCATAATTCTGAACTGGGAATAAAAGTAAGTGTAGAATGCAAGCAATGTAATGAGAGTGCCAGTTGGCACCTGATATGTTTATTGAGTCCTGGGAGTTACTAGAGTGATGTGGCTTTGAATCTGTGTGATTACAGCTGACAAGGGTATTTCCCTAGTTTCCATTTGAAAAGTGGCTGTCTTTTAAATCTGACATCATACTGAAAAAACATTGATTTCTTTGGAATGATTTAAATCACCAGTAGGCTACCGATCTTTCAGAGGGAGAAAGCAAAGTGGAAGCTTTTGCTGTATGACTGTAAATCGGAGTGTTTCATGGTACTTGGACCGGTTTGACCTTAAAAAACTGTTCCTGCTATAAGCAAGAGCTATTTGCGTTGTCCTCAAAACCCAAACAGCAGGGGTAGCCTTGGTCCTGTACTTTCACAGTATAACCATCATGCCTCTCATGAGCCTGCTGGGAGATGGGACACAGAACATCTCAAGATGTTTTTCAGATTGAGACCTGAGGTACAGATTATGTTGCTGTCTGCATTTGGTACACTGCTCTGATAAGGTAGAGGAAAATCACCCTTGAACATCTAACTGCTTGATTTTTTGCAGAGATTTTTAATGCATAAGCAGGTGTTTGCACAGAAACTAGAAACCCATTGAAAACATGGGATTGTGAATTCATGAAGCATGAGTTCTTTCTTGGATACAGAGAAGGCTATTATGAGAGGGATGAATAAAATTCAGGCTCAACTTCAATTTTTTAATAATACTGTTTATTAAAATTTTACATAGTGATAATACAAAACAATGTCAAGTAATTACACATCCATGAAAAATAAAACATGACACCATGGTTACTAATGTATCAAAAAGGTAAAATATGCTATGCGGTTGCATAAAAATGTTGATCTAATACCTCGTACAAATTATCTTATTACACGTTAAATCCAGGATGGAAAGAAAGATGGTTTTGAATTTTGAGGCAGTAAATGAACTTAATCATCAATATAGAGAATAGGCTGGAAATCTAGCCAAGAACGCAATAAGATACTTGATTTTAACTGCTCAGATTCATGCTGTCCTGAGAGGCAGGGGATGGATTCCATCCATCCATACTTTTATTCTAAGCGTCAGAAACAAGAAGGGCCTCACTGTAAGCAAACCTCAGGAGTCTATTGTGCCTTTTATATCATGACTTTGAAACTAGCATTAAGTGACTGAATTAGAACAGGGACTAACGTGGTTGATGCATGTGTTTAAAAAAAATTGTCTACAAATATGTGTTAGCAATGGTCTTGAACTAAAACACACACTTCTCAATTCAGAAATAGTTTGGCTCTCTGGGCCAAACTTTTTGGCTCACCTAAGGAAGAATAGATTTGTATTATATAGTACATCAGAGAGAGACTCAGCTGTGAGCAGAGTGATATATTTTTGCATAAGTAAGCACACAATGAACTAGGGATCTGCCTGAGATGGCAAGAGTTCACTCTCTGTGACTGGTCCTTCTTTTTTCTTCACTGGCAACATCCTGTGAAACAAAGACATCATCAGCTTCAAGACAAATGTGTCTTATTAGAATACATTGGTTCAAAGCTGCTAGTCCATCTCTGGATTCTTCTTGTGATTTAACTGCATGAAGGCTTATTCACCATATTAGTCACTGGCCTATTGTACTCCATTTCTTTGTTGTCAGATTAGTGTTGTTGGTATTATTATTTGTTTATATTACAGCAGGGCCCAGATGCCCCATAATGGCCTGATTTGGGGATTGTACTGACTCACAGTAAGAAGCAGTCGCTGCCCCAGATTGCTTAGTGTCTGATAGATATACCAGGCAAAGTGTGGAAGAAAGGAAGTATTATCATCCACATTTGTATAAACAGGGAACTGAAGACTATTAATCTAGAGTTGGTAACTTCAGAGACATTTTCGAGAGATGGTGACAACACAGGACACAGTCTCCGCAAGGGTGTTCCTTTGGGATGTGATTATGTGCTCCCTCCCCCCAAAAATGCAATGCTTATAAAAGACCTAATAACATGGTCTAGAGTCAGCCATGTTATGGGCAGGGGCTGTGTGAACTCCTCGGCACAGTTCTGTGACAACACCTTAGTCCTGATCTGTTTGAGCCTTCAGCCTCTCTTCAACAAAGACTGCCTGTCATGCCAGACTCTGTGAAGTTTTGGTGATGTGCATGAAGTGGAACTAATATGGAGATATTACATTTATTTTCACTTGCAACCTAAGCTGGGTCTCCACAGATGAAAATAGAAAAGGAGTACTTGTGGCACCTTAGAGACTAACCAATTTATTTGAGCATAAGCTTTCGTGAGCTACAGCTCACTTCATCGGATGCATACTGTGGAAAGTGTAGAAGATCTTTTTATATACACACAAAGCATGAAAAAATACCTCCTCCCACCCCACTCTCCTGCTGGTAATAGCTTATCTAAAGTGATCGCTCTCCTTACAATGTGTATGATAATCAAGTTGGGCCATTTCCAGCACAAATCCACCTTTTCTCACACACACACACACACACCCCCCACACACACTCACAAACCCACTGTGTGTGGGGGGGTGTGTGTGAGAAAAGGTGGATTTGTGCTGGAAATGGCCCAACTTGATTATCATACACATTGTAAGGAGAGCAATCACTTTAGATAAGCTATTACCAGCAGGAGAGTGGGGTGGGAGGAGGTATTTTTTCATGCTTTGTGTGTATATAAAAAGATCTTCTACACTTTCCACAGTATGCATCCGATGAAGTGAGCTGTAGCTCACGAAAGCTTATGCTCAAATAAATTGGTTAGTCTCTAAGGTGCCACAAGTACTCCTTTTCTTTTTGCGAATACAGACTAACACGGCTGTTACTCTGAAACAGATGAAAATGTGCTCTGTGAACTGCTTTTGCCCTATTATGAGCTAGTGATGGGTGAACCTTAAAATGGTTAGGTGGGTGGACTAAGTTTGAGATCTCAAGTCTGAACACTTATCTGGAGCCTCTGGGATTCAAGAAAATAGTTTCTGAGTTTTCAACACAGATGCACTTGTGAGCATATAATTCTAGAAAGGGGGCTTTGTTACTCTTGTTTCACCATCCCTTTGAGTTCTCTCTCACCCTGCTCCCAAGCTCTCTTTCTCTTTCTAAGGCAATTCCTCCCCATGTGGGGGAAGGCAAGTATAGACTGCATACATGCAACCCTCCCACTTCGCAGTTCCACTGTGCATTGCTTATCACTTCTGTTTGGGGACTAATGCTAACCCTGTTTTAGTGCACAAGAGCAGGTATAGTAACCGCAAGTTGTTGAAGTTTATGTAATGCTGCATTTGAACACAGAAGCCAAACATGAGTGTGGAGAAAACCCCACAGAAACCTTTTTAGGAATAAAAATCTCCTTGCTTCTGTCCTGACTTTGGATTCACTTAGCATATTTATTTTACTGCATGTTACACCAGTTTCTTTGTTACAGTATCAGTATTGGCAACTTCAAGCATTCAAAAGTCATGAATCAACCCCCCTCTCCCATCATGAGATTTTAAAAATACTACAATTTGGGTTCTTTTGCTTTGTGATCTGGTGTCTGAGCCTTTAGGCTGCACTCAGGTCATGTTTTCAAGTTTTGCTCTGCAACCATAAAGGCTAGAAACTTAACTTTTATGTTTTTTTAAAAAGTAAGTTTCTCATGTAAGACTCACGTGACTCCAAGAGCTGAGGCTTTAAGAACAACGTCAAGATTTGCAATAAAATTATGAGAGTTGGCAACAATGGAATATGTAAAAGGCAAAACCAAGGCAGCTTTGCAGTGCCACAGTTGCAATTAGTGTTCAGTGTCTCCACTGTCTTATATTTTCCAGGAACTGAAGGGGGAGCAAATGAGTTTTCCTTGTTTTGCCCCATACACTGTCAAGAGAGCCTTAAACTGTTTTGTGAGACCTGTGATGTCCTTACTTGCCGCAACTGCCTTCTGACCGAACACAAGGAACACAGGTACCAAACATGAATTCCTTATTGACCCCACCTAAAAACAGTTAACTTGGCCTTGAAGTTGCAGTCACCAAAATTCAAGGAAATCACAGGTTAATACAACTTTAACAGGCATGCCAAACTCAATTCACATGACTTGCACCTGAACAGCTTAATAGCCAGACACGCTAACAGCCTCTGCAGCTCATGCCCTTCCAATTCCAGTGTCTATCCAACCACCATGTGCACATCCAGTTCCTCACAATCAGACTAACCTGAATTCTGGTCTTGGCATAGCTAAGAAATTTCACCAATAGATATACTTTTATTTAAAGAGTCTATAATGTATTATTTTTACAAAAAGAATTCTGAGGTCAACGTTGTGAGTTTGACTGTGATTGTGAGAAGGGGTGTGTGCGCCATGGGAAGTTTTTATGTCGAAATTGAAGGAGATTTTTGTGAGGTGAGGCTGTGACTATGTGTGGGTAGTAATGTGTGGAACAGGACGGGTGGGATACAGAGGTGTTGGATGTCAGGGGATGTAGAGAGTTGGTGATTAGAAGGGAAGGTGGGATCATGGCAAGGGGTTAGAAGGGAAGCAGAAGAATATGGGAAGCAAGTGAATGTGGGCAGTGAAAATGACGTATCTGTTTTACTGCAGCCTGTATTTAGGTGGTAGATGTATTTGCTCATGTACACCACAGGACGGGTGCTTTTTGAGTTTTAGGTGAACAATTTTGGATGCTCAGATTGAGGTCCCTTTGAAATTTTTCTATAAATATTAGTTTCTCATCAGTGCAGTCTAGCAGCTCAGGTTGTGAGATAGTAATATGGCCTGTAAGGTTTGTCTTGCATTATATATATTTTTTGAAATTAGCAAAGAATATTTTTTTGAAATAAATCCATAAGAAATACAAACCTGGCTTCTCTGACTGTCTGTAGTGTGTCCTTAGTTGCTCCTCTCCTAAATAGATTGATCCCAACTATGTTTTTATCTAGGTCTTAAGCACATGCACTTATTTAAGGCAAGACCATGCATGAACCTTTGTGTAGAGAAGAGGAAGGGTGAAAGGACCCATGTAAAAGCCAGGCATAGCTGGAATCTTTGTGGGGGAGTGTAGGGATTGTTCCTTTCCAACTCCCTTGCTGGGGGTTCATAGCCATCCAGAGGCTGTGGAGGAAAGCCCCTTACTCTGCACACCCTATGTGCTCACCAGCAGAGCTTGCTGGCCGCACAGAGAGAAATAATAAACTGCACCCAATAAAAGATGGTAGCAACAGGTGGAAAATAACAATGGGCAAATTCGTTTGGGATTGGTGCAGCTCCCAGTGTGTCCTGGCAGGCACAACTGAGCTCTTAATTCTATTCTGATTTATTATCAATCTGCTAAGTAACGACAATGCCTTATTGTAACCTAGCAAAGAAGGAAAAATATTTAGGGATGACCTGAAGAATGGCTAATTTGTGAACAGAACAGTAAACCATGTGAAACTTCCCTACTTTCCCAGGTTCATGCATCTTGAAGAGGCTTTGCAGAATCAGAGGGTTATCCTAGAAAATGTAACAGCCAAAGTGGAAGAGAGAAAAACTGGGATGCAGGTCTCAGCTAAACAGCTTGAAGACAGGTAACCGTCGCACATGACAGGAGGTATTCAGTAAAAATCCCGTTTCGGTTAAAATGCAGCTAGCCAGTGGTAGCTAAAGGTATGAGATTTTTTTTCTTTACACGTAGAAAATAATAGGTAGATTTAAATATCTCAAATATACCAATACAGTTAAACGGGCAAAGATGCCATTTCTCAGTATTACAGAACTGGGGCAGACTGAAAGAGTGTATGACAATTGACTGCAATTTCCAAAGATATTTTGATGTTCTGTAGTAATACCGAAGTAGAAGAAGAAAAGATCAGAACTATCTATTATATAAAAATCTAGTACTTGTTTTTTCAACAAACCTGGCAACCAAGCTGTATGAACTAAGGCCATGTCTATCCTAGCACTTATGTTGGCAAATCATATGTTGCTCAGGAGTGTGAAAAAAAACACCTCCCGGAATGACATAAGTTTCACTGGCATAAGGGGTAGTGTACACAGTGCTATGTTGGCAGGAGAGCTTCTCCTGCTGACATAGCTACCGCCGCTCACTCGTTGGGGGTGGTTTAATTATATCGATGGGAGAGATCTCTCCCATCGGCATAGAGCGGCTACAGGAGAGATCTTACAGTGGCACAGCTGCATTAGTACAGCTGTGCCGCTATAAGATCTCTAGTGTAGACATAGCCTAAATGGTGTAACAGTAGAAGATAGTTCATTATATGAACTGATTTTCAGTTACTTATGCTGGATTTGTTTGCTGTCAGGCCAATTAATGGAAAAGTTGAGATCAGTTTTAAAACCCTCAAACCCATATAAAATCCATCTATACTGTAGTGTGGTATGAAGTAATTAATTAGACATTAATTTTTCTGAAAGTAAATTAAAGATATTTATTTGAGACTATTGTTTTTCTTTCTTTTGCCTCTCTGTTGTCAGCTGTCCATCTGAACCATGTGAGGATTTCTGGTATGCAGAGGGTAGATGTAGTTTTTTCTGTTCCCTAGGGAGAAGAGTAAAGCAAGTAAAATATCCTAGAATCATAGAATATCAGGGTTTGGTAGGGACCTCAGGAGATCATCTAATCCAACCCCCTGCTCAAAGCAGGACCAATCCCCAATTTTTGCCCCAGATTTCTAAATGGCTCCCTCAAAGATTGGACTCATAACCCTGGGTTTAGCAGGCCAATGCTCAAACCACTGAGCTATCCTTATCAGTAAATGTCAGTAAACGCACAAACCAAAACCAAAACATTTCCATCCATGATCATTGAAATTTACAGATAGGCAAAATAAAGAAAGTGCTGCTTGAGAACTTATGAAAGTTTGATTCAATTATATTTACTTTGTACATTTTGACATGCGATGCTGGAAATTTGTATTTAATGGTTATAAAGGTTTAATTTATTGAATCTCAATGTCTTCTGTTAAATAATTAGTGTCAGACCACCACATAATTTCCCACAACTGTGAAAATTTAAATAGATGATCATTTTTACAGATACTTAAAAACCATAATTTTGTGCAACTCTGAAAATTTAAATAGATACAAATAAAAATGCTTAAAACATCAATATTATCCATCAAAATTATAAAAAAATAAAATTAAATTCTGCCAACCTTAAATATTCTTGACTTGTGTTGTGTATATGAAGCAATTTTAGAAGACCTGTTGGGAAGTGTTTGAAAGCCTGATCTAGTTCCACTGAAATCAATGGGAATCTTTCCATTATCTTCAATGGAAGATGGATCAAGCCCTAAGTCTTTTATTAATTCTCAAATCTATTCTCATTGTAATTAATAACTATCAAATGCTGAATAAATGGAATGCTGATTGATTCATGAAGGTGTATTTATACTTTCCCCACAGGTTATTTGAAGTAAAACATTTGCACAGAAAAGTGGAAAATCAGATCAAAATGGCCAAGATGGTTTTGATGAATGAAATCAATAAACGAACAAATGACCTTCTAGAGCAACTTGAGGTAAGTGAGGATGATACCAGTGATACTGAGAAGTGGTTTAACAAGAGAGTTTTTCTGACATCGCCTTGGCAAGTTAAATCCTAACCCCAACCAGAAGAAAGACTATGTCTTGTGTAAGTTATAATGTATCAATTAAACAAAATATTTTTTCTCTCAAACTTAAAATGGGATCAGAGCTCAGCACTTTTCAGGGTTGAGCTCCCATCTGTTCCTGTGGAACTTGGAAGTGTCTGTTGCATAAGAAGGGAACCTATCTGTTAGCTCTGTTGTCTCTTTCTACTTGATGGCTCAAAGAGGTACCAAATTTTCAGCAAGTGCCCGTCCAGACAATGCCTTTGATGATGCACACTGACTGTATATAGTAAGTATATCTGAACACTGGCTAAAGTTGTGCAGAACATATTATTTCTCATTATCACCAGAGAATTACCAGCGAGAGGAAACAGAAGTTGGAGCAACAACTTCAAGGCATCATGGTTTTAAACCGGCAGTTTGAACATGTGCAGAACTTTATCAACTGGGCAGTGTGCAGTAAAAACAGCATTCCATTCCTCTTCAGTAAGGAACTGGTAAGAGTAATACCCACTGTCTGGATTAGAGGAAATTGTGCAGTGGTACAATGAATGAAGATCCAGAAGGGTAACTTAATTAGGAACATAGTGAATCAGAAAGAAATGGGTCGGAGAAGCCTTGTGAACCTGGCTTGAACTGTGCAGGAACCATAAGTCAGGGATTGGGGAGCCCTAAAAAGATAGGAGCCTACCAGGGCACTCCGCACACAAGGTCGGGGTGCAGGGGAAAGCCACATTCAGAATGGGGCTCTTGTTGCCTGCAAATAAAAACTAAGAGAAAACATATTGTGCAGCACAACATAAATCTGAATGTTGTCTGGGAGCCGAGGTTAGAGGAGCTTTCTATGATATTGGGCTAAATTCATTCCCGCTCAATGACTCTCTTTTAAGGATTTAATGTTTCTTCAACATTAAACGATAATGATTTTAAATCCACTGGATGAAACAATGATTCTTTGATTTTTCACCAGATTGTGTTTCAGATACAGCATTTGCTGGAGACAAATTGTAGCACAGAAGTAGGCCCTCCTTGGAAGATCAGATTCACTTGGGACCCTTCTTTCTGGAGTAAACAATTGTCCAATTTAGGTAAGAAAAATACAGCATGATGACTATGATTTTCTGTATTAGATAAGTGCTGGTGCTCAAAGCTGTACTAGACACACCGATAAAGAAAGCCCCTGTCTCAAAGAGCTTTCCTTAGTTAAGAAATTGTATAGGGCATGATAGTGTAAAATATAGTGTCTCGTTAAACCTTATTTCACTGCCATGGGGCACTTCAAAGCAGCTGAACGGCACTAAATGTCAAGTATTATTACACTGTGATGTACAATAGATCAGCTGTCCAAGAAAAAGAGTGCCCAATGCTGTAGATGTAAAGAACTTACACAGAATACTGTGCGATGGTAAATGATTCATAATAAAATCCCTTGTAAAATGGGAGGCCCCCAGGTGGTAAGTGCTGACTTAGTTAGATAAGGTCATGACAAAATGTGACCCCTTTGGTTATATGGGAGTTGCACAATAATAAACTGTGCAACTGACATTACTTTGGTTTTGTGAAGAGTGGTGGTGGGGGTGTCTTTGTGTAAATGTCATCAATGATGGTCAGAAAACAGAACAGCTAATATACATTTAACTCAGAGGAGTAAAAGACACAGGAAGACGTTACAGATTTTCAGGAACATACACTTACGGTATTTTATAATGATAATCTACAGAATACAATGACATAGCAAGCTGTTTGTGTGCTTTATTACGTAATAGACAAGGTGGGTGTGGTAATACCTTATACAATACCTTATATGGACTCTATAGGATACCCCATAAAAGTTTAACTTCACCCACCTTATTTCTCATATCCTGGGACCAGTATGGCTAGAACAACTTATTATGTAATGATGTATTAATTTCAAGCTGTTTGCTATGTGATTGTGTCCTAATTATTTGAAAGTTTATTATGAGAAGGAAATAAGTGAAGGGTAAGAGCTGGACATGTTAATTCCAGTATTTATTAGAGTACGTTAAAACAAAACCCAAACCACAAATTATAAGTTACTCTGTAGATGCCTTTGTTATTCATGAAGTATATTTGATTGAACATAAACAATTAACTGAAATGACATACATTGTAGTAACACTCAATGCCAAATTCAAATCAAGAGGTTTATTTTTGCCTGTTTTGTGCCAAATACCGTTTTGAGCAAACTGGCCCCCATCCCCTAGCAAGTGGCAGCTTTGTACTATTCCAGTGGCCCTAAAATCAGCCTGGTCAGTCAGTGGAGGATTCCCTAGGTGGAAAAGAGCCACTGTGGCAAGTCCTATACCATTCCTTCCTGTCTTCCACAGAATGGCCTTGGCTGGGGCATCCCTATGCTCCAGTCATCCCCTGCTGCTGGACGGCCTTGGGACCTGACCAGTGCCTGGCACAGTCAGGATTGGGGAGCACAAAGGTGGCTTAAAGACAACTTTGTTCCCCCCAGACACACTGCAGTGGATGCACAAGACATGGTGGACCTAAGGATGCGGCCTGTTGTATATCTATTTATATAATATATATGCATACATTCAATCTTGTGCCTTCCACCCGCTATACATTGGCTGGCTGCAGTAGGTTTTTCCAGTAATCCAGTTCAGTCTTCTGATCAAAGATCTAAAAGGTCATTCCTCATCCCATTTTAAGACATTTAACACTAGACTGCATAAAGGACTAGAAAATATACTGTAGGGAATAATCCTGTACTTTCAGAGAGATTGACAAGATCACCTCATAGGCCGTGTCTGTCTTCTGTGATTTTATGATTCTCTTCTACATGACATCCATCCAATTTATTTGTCTTACTTTCATTCTGAAAACAAATATTCCGTGTGCCTATGTTTATGGATGAGAACTTAAGTGTATACGTTAGTAAAAAATGGTAGCTTTCGCCACATCCATCAGTTAAAATAATGGGAGTTGAGTGGCAATTTTTCAAAGCAGTGACTGGTGTTTTAATCATGAGTCCAATTGCCATCAGGGAGTTTTGTGGGATTTAAAATCATGCAAAATTCTTAGAAAATGTATCCTCAATGGTTTTGTTTAGTGGAAAAGATAGAAGAAAATGAGAAGTTATCCTAAAGGGCTTTTTAAACAGGATTTGAGTCATTTCAAAATTGAACCTGAGACAAAGAAATTGCCTTTGTAGAATTTACCCATAAAGTAGTAAATTAAACAGTTTGTCAAGATCCCAGTTCCTTGGCTAGGAACAAGTGAAGGTAGAAGTTAATTGTATCGAAAGTAATTGTACTGCTTTCACAGGTGGCTTAACAATGGAAGGTGGACACACTCCTCATTCAGATGTCCCAACCTTTGGAAATGTACAAGGATTACAGACATCAATGTATCATGGACAACATTCGCCAGCACCACAGCTTGAGGCTATCCATAACCAGTCACATCAGTTTCCACCTCCTGTTCAGTCTCCTGCACCAGCGTGTTGCTCCCATTGCCTCAACATCCCTCACATGAATAAGGGTCAGCGTCTTCAGCACAAGATGAGCCGCGATCATCAGAATTTTAGACATCCTCTTGAAATGCAGCAGCAGCCGCCACTGCATTTCCCACTGCAATACAACGTTCAGCAGCATGAAAAAGAGCAGAGGGCCACACCTCAGCCTTTGAAAATAATGCAGCCTTGTCTACAGCAACCATCCCATTCAGAGCAGGATAATGTGTCTGTGAGGATGGGAAAACGTTTGCAAGCTCAACAGCCACAGCAGACTCCACATCCAGTTTACACGGTTCCCCCACAAGATGTTCATCAGGTTCACACTGGTCATGGGCAACAATTGCACACCCAGCCTGCTTTGCAGACTCCAGCTGTGCAAGTGCAGCTTGGTCATCTTCAGAAGCTGAAGCTTAACCACATGCAGCAGCAGCAACCACAGCCACTGCCTCCCCCAGCCAGTCAGAATGAAAACGCTCATGAACAAGTCATACAACAGAGTTTGGACATAATGCACCACCAGTTTGAACTGGAAGAAATGAAAAAGGATTTGGAGCTTCTCCTTCAGGCTCAAGGGCAACCAAGCTTGCAGCTGAATCAAGCCAAACAGCCTCAGCCTGTTCAGCAAACCATTGTTGGACAGATAAACTACATAGTGAGGCAACCAGCCCCAGTTCAGCAGCAAATCCAAGATGAAGTGCAACAAGTAAGTTTTCCAGACCATCCCTTCCCCCCCAATGCATTTGGTCGGCACTGGCTCAGAGCTTGAGACTGAGAGGATAAAGGTAGACATTTCAGTGTTGTTAACCAACTCACTGTAAATGCAACAGATCTGATAGCAGCTTTAGTTGTGAAGCATAACTCAGGTAGTTTTGAGAGTTTATATTTGGAATACGCTCATTTAAATGTATGGAAATCACTTTGCCACCATTTTGGGTGGTTAAAACTTTATTATTTACAGTACAAGTTATTTTCTTCTTGTGAATATTTGTGTAACAGTACGGACTCAAGCCTCAGCTGAGATCCAGGCCCTGTTGTGCTAGGTGCTGTACATACACAACCAGAAGTAGTTCCTGTTCCAAAGATCTTACATTCTAAAGAGACAAGACAGACAAAAGGTGGAGAAAATAAGTGTCGTTATTCCCATTTTACGATGGGGAACTGAAGGACAGAGATATTAAATGACCTGCTGAAGGTCACACAGGAAGTTTGTTGCAGATCTGGGAACAGAGCCCAGATCTCCTGAGCCACAGTCCAGAGCCTTAATCACAAAACCACTCTGCCTTTCTTTTGCTAAATAACAGGAGTGGCCAAATTTACTGATCCTCTGAGCCGCATACAATAATCTTCAGAAGTCTGAGAGCTGCAAGGCATGCACAACCTGCCCTGTGGGCCGGCGCCTGCTGGGGCATGGGGCTAAAGCCCTAAGATCCCCGTCCCTGCAGGGCAGAAGCCCCTAGTCCCACCACCCCACCACAGGGCAGAAACCACAATCTCCCCCCACCCAGTCTAGTAGATGAAGAATTGGGGTGTCTGGGGGGCTCCATGAGCTGCACTTTAACTGTAAAAAGAGCCACTTGCGGCTCAGGAGCTGCAGTTTGACCATGCCTGCTACATAATGTCAGTAAATGACAGTGTCACATAGACAAGTGAAGGGAATAAAACGGAGTCAGAGCAGTATAGGTGACGGGTTACAGTAAGTGTACATTCCCTGTTCGCTGATTTTTCATCCAGCAGGAGACCACGCTAGATAATACACTAGAATTCTATAAAATGAGCCATATTCTCCCCTTCCTGCCCTCAGTCAGAACCATATAATTAAAGTCTAGAACTGAGCCTGGTGGCAGCCATGGTGGCCAACTCTGGCAATATGGCTAAGAGCTTCCCAGACCCCATTAGGCAAAGCCTGCACAAAGAGATGGCTCTTGCAATGCACTCAAAAGATGGTGGGAGCTCTGGAAGATCTCCCAAGAAATGAATTCCACAGTCATGATTCTTTCACTTGGTAAACTCTGCCCAGGCCTAAGTGCTGTAAACTTCGACCATCTTCCAAAGTGCTCACATTGGTTTTAGCTGTCATGGCAGATAGTGTGTGGGAATACCTGGATTTTAGACCATTCAAGGTAGATTCTGTACAGGATTTTCCCCATGATGTACTACGGCTATATCTACACTATGGACCTGACAGTAGCACACCTGTACTGCTGCAGCTGGGCTGCTGTGCGGTCTCCTGTGTAGCCGCTCTATGCCTGCAGGAGAGCGCTCTCCCACTAGCATCATTAAACCACTCCCAATGAGTGGCAGGAGACGGTCTTCTGCTGACATACCGCTGTTCACGCCAGCGCTTTTGTCAGTCAAACTTGTGTCAGTCAATGGTGGTTTTTTCCACACTCCTGATTGACAAAAGTTTTGCCGACAAAAGTACTAGTATAGACAAAAGCCTAAGAGGGAGATCAGTTTCTCTTTCTCTCTCTCTCCCCCTCCCCTTTTGGGTTATTTTGAGTGTCTTTAAAACAATAGTGTTGTTATAAGGAATTTTCATGGTTTTAATATTTCACGTGCAGTGTGCTGATGTTATCTTCCTACCATTTACTGGATCTGAGTTCCTGGAAATATTGAAATCTTATCCTTTCATCATAGGTTTGTGAGGATTCTGCTGAACTAGAAAGTGAAAAGCCAGTGCTTCCTCTTGATAGAAATGTTATTCCAGCTCCGTCACAACCATTAGCTGAAGAAACCACTGTCAGCAGTCCCTCCTCAGAGAGCACCTTGCAACACCCCTCTTTGAATCCAGTGAGGAAGGTACACAAAGCTTTTCAAAATCCTTTTTAAGAGAACATGTACTTTTATAGTAGTGAATGTCATGTGATACTTCTACTGGAGTTCACATCCAAGCTGAAGGATTTAAATGTCTGGCTTATGTTCTGTCAGCACAATGGCTTGCAAATAACCAGGCAATTTTCAAAGCTGGTTACAGCTGCTTCTTCTCCCCTCCCTTTATTCTAACCCTCTTTATTTACTTTATGTATTATGATGAATCTGGTATTTTGGTATATATGTTGCATTTTGGAAAAAAAATAAAAATTATAAATGAAAAAAGATGGTTGCAACCTAATATAGTTTGCATCCACCTCTAACTTAGTTACAAGCCATCTTACAATCATGACCTGTTAACTGTCTATGGGGGCATCTATAGCCTGGATGCGTCTAACATCGCTGTTAAAAATGTAAATAAATACAGCAATGGACATGCTACAGCTATGGTGGTAGTTAAGCAGCGTTCTGATAGAATCTTGCTTGGCAATCAATCTTGGAAATGGTTGGATGGTTGTTGCCAGTGTCATTTATAAACTGTGCTGTAGAGTGTCTTAGGCCTGGTGTATACTACAGGGTTAGGTCGACAGAAGCTGCCTTGCATCAACCTAGCTATGGAAGTGTCTTCACTTAAATTTGGCTCCGACCGACGTAAGTGCCTCTACGCCGATTTAGTAGCACCTCCTCAGCGTAGAGTCATGGACGATGGAATTAGGTAAACACAATGTCAGTGTAAACACTGCGTTGCTTAAGTCAACTGTGACTGGCTTCCAGGAGACATCCCACCGTGCACCACACTGACAATATAGATCAGTACAAGCCCTCAGAGTGAGGACGCAAACCGGCAACACAAGGAGCCAAGTGTGCCCACACACAAACGATTTAATAACTGCGGTGGCTATGTGCCGATGTAACTTAGGTCGACAAAATTTTGTAGTGTAAATATGGCCTTAGTGACCTGAGGAAAGAAAAGGGGGAAGTAGGAAAAGAATAGATTAAAGGGACATAATTGTCTAATACATCTGCTTTAATTTTCTTTCTTGTGTATATTTAAGCAGAAAAATAGCGGTCTCTTACACTCCTAAACATTTTATGCACATGCTAGAACCATAATTTGGGATCCCTGACCCAAAGTGAGCCCCTGATCACCAAATAAAGCATATAGGCAGAGACTCTCAGATATTTTTTAACATAAATGGTAACTCTACAACTGTCTTGCTTCTTGAGGCTTATTTAATGTATATTGAGAAGCTGTCGTCTTCTCTAGAGCTGAACAGAAAACCTGTCTCTGAGGAAATGAGGCTTCCTGAAGTGCCCAATTATCTGTGAAGAGGTACAGTAGTCATGGAAAGAAGTCAGATGCAGGAGGGGGAGTCAAGAGCTTGGGAAGGTGACAGAAAGAACTAGGTGTAGAGCAGAAGGAAGCTCAGATGGAAAGGCAAGAAGAGAGAGGAAATGAAAGGAGGATTCTGAATATGAGAATGGAAGAGAAGAGAAGAAGGGTACTTGTAGAAGGAGAGAAAAAGAGGAAAGAATGACAGGTGTCTAACAGACCTGACTGGTGTAAATCTTTTTGTAAAGAAAGCTAAGCTTTCTCAATGTCACTGGCGTACTGGTTAGCTGTGGCTGAGATTGCAGCACCCCTGTACCACAAAGCTTTGTTGTTGCTGTTATTAATATATGGTAACTGACCATTTTGGGAGTGATGTCATGACATACTCAAGACCCTGCTAATTGATAATTTAGAAGTGAATGTAAAGGGAAGAGTGTGGCAGGATACTGTTTTTGTGGAAGCTTTCTAATAAGGAAGACAGTTTTCCTGACGTGCTAAATCTTGCTTTGAATGGGAGATTGGTTCCTATGTAAGAAAAAAAGAGAGATGAACACCCTGCTGGTTTGGGTCTATTTTTGGCTGCATTTGAGTGTACGTTTCTATGTAGATCTCCATCCTGACAACAATTGTCTTGGTACAGGGAGTGTTGGACCCCTTCATCTTCCACATACAAATTCTATGAGGCCACTGTAAAATGCTAATATATATTTTATTTAACTGAGTAGAGCCCTAAAACATAACAGATAGAATGGCAGGAGGCAAATATGAACATTCTTCTAATAAAAGAAAAACTGTTCTCCCTTTTAAGTAGTAATTGGTGTTAGCCATTTAAATGATGCTTCCCAATTCTGCTCAAGTTCATTATACTAGTACACACCCCTCTTCACACACTGCTTTCCCAGTGGAGCTAGGATGTAACAGTAACTCAGAATAAACTGATTAGTGATAAATTAGGCAGGGTCTGTTAACAGAGTTAAAAATTTCCACTGTAACGACTTGTAGCCCAAAGTTGGTTTTTTGTTTTGTTTTGTTTTTTTTTTGCCAGGCTTGATTGCTCATGTGATTAGACACCTGTGTTTTAATTTCACAACATATTTAATTTCACAACATATTTATGGTGTGCATCTGAGGCTATTGACTAATAACTAGCCTGTGTGTCAATATAGGGGATCATATCTGTTTGGGCGTGAAGCTATACAAAACTGATGCTAATAATATTTTGGGATAACCACATTATTTGCAGGTGGCAAAACCTCAAGTAAGTCATGCAGGTCATTCCAAACAAGGGCTAGTAAAGCCATTATACCATGCCCCATCACCGGATATTTTTTACATAAAGCAGGTGTTGCTAGCCATGGTATGTCATGAATGTTGGCATTTAAGCCGTCACTTTCCCAAAGTTCAGGAGTGTACCTGTTTGGGCCCCTCTGTACTTTTATGTACTTGCTGAATGTAGTCTAGTGCGCGCGTGTGTGTGTGTGTGTGTAAACAGTATCTTCAAATGTCTGCTTGCTCTCTCATCTTCCTTTGCCTTTTGTGTTTTTTTTAAAACACGTCTGGGAGTATTTACATTTCTGTCAGCTATGCTGTCTTTCCGTGTCTGCCTCTGACTAGCCTTTATTTTTGCAGACTAGTTAGCTTGTGGATGTATTCATGTTCAGACAGTTGTGTGTTTTGTGTAAATCTTCATTATTCCATGTAATATAAATGTTGGGTTTGTGCAGTTCCCTTCAGGAATACAGCACTGAGTGTGGAAATCCTCTTTTTAGCCACAAATCGGACAGAAGGTTCTCCACACTGCCCTGTCAATATACTCCACTTCTGATCTGGAGGGAGCCAGTTTTCTGGGTGAAAGGATAGTTTTGTCTCCAGACCTGTTCAATTCATGACCCCTCTGAGAGTGCCAACAAGGCAGTGAATTAAATGCAAGTTGATTTAGTGATTTTTGTGGTAATGACTTTTGTCTGTTGGGAACTGGACTGAGCCAGCAAACTCATTATACATTAGCCATTAACAGCTGTCTGATGGAGGTAACTTTCAGTCACTACCAACGTGGGCTACTTCTAACTAGGGATCTAGAGGTGAAGGTTACCAGCTACCTGAATCATTTGGTGGTCCTGTTGTTTTTGCAGGGTATACTGGTGAGTTACTTATTTGCAAACAGGACCGGGGAGGGCAATCTATTTGAGAACAGATGCAAATTCTGTAAGATTTTTTGATGTAACTATGATTTTGGGGATGATAAACTGCACATGACATTTCCTTGGCTTGAACGTGTTTCATTTTCCTTCATGATTGTGATCAGTTAGAGGTTTAACTTTAAAGCAGATAAAATGCAGAATTAGGAAGAAGTGCCATTGTTATTGTACAGATGCACCATGTGCATCTTTTAATAGGAAGCTCAGATACCATGGTGATAGTCATGGTCATATTTACAGTTCTTCCCTTTGTGAGTGTGTAACCAGTGGTGAGTATAATAACTAGACAGCCTTCCTCAAACCAAAGTGTTCTTTATTCTCACAGGAGGAACAAAGCATAATTTGGATTTTAAAACAAATAGTCTATGTGGATGTATATCCTACTTGAGGCTTACTGCCTCCTCATGGTGACCTGGACAGGCCTACCCTCTTCAGACCTTCCCAGCGCACGGTTGTGTCAGTCTGGCTTCTATATCCCAAACAACTCCTGGCCTCCCCTTGCCCCGAGAGTCTCTTCTTAAACTGTTATAGTCCTTTTGATCTTCTTGTGTTCCATAGTCTTTTCCTGTCACACGCTGTCTCTTACCAACCCATAATGCTCAAATAAATTGGTTAGTCTCTAAGGTGCCACAAGTACTCCTTTTCTTTTTGCGAATACAGACTAACACGGCTGTTCCTCTGAAACAACCCATAAGTGTTTCCTGAGGATTGGCTTATCTTGAGCCATTGTTTCGCTTCCTGCTTATTTTTCCTTACAGCAGTACAGTACCCTTTTAAACAAAACCAACATATTTGCACAGTAAACACCTCTATAACCCACTCAACATACAGTATTCATTATTACAGAGCAGCTCCACATCTGTCACAGGCACCATAGAAATACCTAAATTAGATAGGTAGATCCCATCAAATGCTTCTCATCAGAGTGATGCTCCCAAATGCTTCACATTTTCTTTTATTCCCATATCAGGTAGTCTTTCATAGATTCTAAGGCCAGAAGGGACCACTGCGATCATCCACTCTGACTTCCTGTATATCATAGGCCGGAGAAGTTTTCCAAAATAATCCCTCATTGAGCTAGAGTATATCTTTCAGAAAACATCCAGTCTTGATTTAAAAATTGCCAGTAATGGAGAATTCACCACCATCCTTGGTAAATTGTTCTAGTGGTTAACTACCTTCATTGTTAAAAATTTACTCCTTATTTCCAGCCTGACTTTGTCTAGCTTCAACTTCCAAACATAGCATCTTATACCTTTGTCTTGGAAGTTCTGATAGGACTGCACCTTGGTAGTTCAAGATGGAACTTCTTCCCCCCTTCTGAGATGTAACGCACATGAATGCCTCTAATTCGGTCATGTTAATATTACGATCCAGTGAGATAAAACTGGGTTTTATCTGCTAGAGATGGAAGTGCTGTGCACTCTCCAACACATCACATTTGTCCTTAGCTTTCC